CTGACTCGTCCCCCTTCCTTGTGACCCTTCTATAAGGGGATGTCCAATTGTCTACAGATGGGCTTTGGGTTTCTACTCCGACACCCATCATTCACATCGATATGAATGCTTCTTTTGGGTCTTCTGATGCCTGATACCTAATCCCATCGACACCTGGTGATCACACATGCTGGTGTGCTGCTTCCATGTGGGCTTTGCTGCTTCCCTACTAGATGGCCACTTGTTTAACTTCAACCCTTTAAGACCCCAGATGCTAGATCCTGTAACAGCCGGGTACCATCAGCTTTCTGCACCACATTAGCTTATGCACCTATTTTGTCTTCAGTGATCGTGCTGGGAAGGTGATCATCAAAGAATGTCAAGTTATTAGAATAAAGTGTTATTGTGTTGAGGGAGTACTTGAGTAGACACCCAATGTCCATCTGCTACCTTAATACTTAACATATATATGTACATCGACCTATATCTGTATCACATATTTGCATATATACATGTCTATATTTATACGTCTATGAATATCTTTTGTCTCCTAGTTCTTTCCTCTATTTCCTTTTACTTTCCTCCTGTCCCACTTCATTTTCAACCTTCATTCGGCTCTCAGTAATTTCTCTTGGCTAACCTGTACTCGATCAAACCCCACCAGACATTGTACGCTCCCCTCACCATTGATTTTGGGTCTCTTGATTTTACATCTTTTGTTATTCCCTTGTCCCTGGATTTGTTGGCTCTGTCTTCTCTTTCGCCTGCCTCCCGTCTCCCATGTCCCCCTGGAACCGCTGGTCTGTTGTTTCCTCCTTGGGATTGTAAACAATCCTATTTTATATAGATAGACATAAACAACAACAAAAATTTTTTAAAGGCTACAAATAGTTCCAGGTCTGTCTGCTGATCCTTATGAATGTTTTCCACTCAGGTCTGATGAGGTGCCAAGCCCTGCCCTTTGAGGCTGAAGTCTGTTTTCAGAATTCCTCGGGCACTTTGTTGCTTTGCTCCCCTTGCTGCTCTGTTGTGCTCCCTGTGGGTTACACCCCGGTGTGTGTGTGTGGGGTCAGACTGGGCACAATTCCCGAACTGTGTCTCCAGTGCTACCCCCCCCCCCCCCCCGTAGCGCTGTGGGTCAGGGAGGGGATCTCATGTCTCCTGGTGGGGCCGGCCCTATCAATATGGGATTCTACTGATAACAGTAACTCCAAAGATTAGATAAGAACCAGGGGAGCGGTTCTGTTAAAGACAGGAACAATTCTGAAAAGGAGAGTGAGAATGATCTTAAAGAACTTAAAAGAACATGTTCAAAGTCACTAGATAGCAGAGGTCAAAACTTTGAACTGGTGAATGCTTTTGCTTCGTATATTTCCATCAACAGCTACAAAACAAATCAATATTGAAAAAGAAAGAAAAAAAGTCTATCTCCTTTCCCTTTGTGCTGGGATCTGGGCAAGGTTGATCAGATTGTAGGCAGCCTCTACTTCCTTTCCTGGACTCAACCCCCATGCTATGAGGAAGCCCAAGAGCTCATGAAGAGGCCCCAAATGAGGAGGACTCAGAAGCAGAACCAGTTTTCCGGGCATAGGAGTGAGCCGGCTTGGCAGCAGATCACCATTCAGAGCTCAACTACTCTAGCTGGCATCACTTGGGGGCAGAGACAAACTGCTCTTGCCAAAACCTGTCCACAATGCCGTTTCGAAGACAAAATAATGACTACTGCTGTTTCGAGCCTCGTGTTTTACAGTGCTTTTGACACTGCAATAGGAGAGTGGAACATCAATTTTTTAATGCCTCCTGAAGCAAGAAGTTTACAACAGAAGGCTAGCTAGCCTATTCTCTCTCTGATTTGCCTCCTCATGTTAAGTATGAGCAGCAGGGTGGCACAGAGGTAGCGAAGACAACAGACTCTCTCTTAGGCTATTAGGATCATGGAAAGCTACAAGAACTGAGAGGAGAAGACTTTTTTAAGAATGGAGGTTCAGAAGAAGAAAAAGTAAAATTTAAAAAAGCTGGGGGCGAATGGTTAAAACTAATACTCAGATCAGGAGATCTTGAAGGAAGGGAAAGAAGACCAGGAACGTGAGGAAATCCTGGCGAGGTCTGGAAGGCCGGGATTGCTGGCAGACGTGAGCCCCAGTGAAGACTGGGCTCTACACTGGCAAGAGCCAGCTGACACAGGTTTGTCGCCTTGAGCAGCTCCACGTGGAAGCAGAAACTACCACGTGGACAGACTGGACTGAGCCCCAGGGGAGCGCCTCCTCAAAGGCAACAGGTTGGTGGTTCTAAGTACCAGGCTCTTAACCATCCTCAAAAAGCTACAAGAAGTTTACCTTTACACAAGCATGCCCATTTGCCCTCCATTAGGCATGGGTATGCCCTCCCTTCATACCTTCTGACTGAATTGCTGGTGCCTGAAATTCCTCTAATACAGACAAGAAAGACATGTTCATTCCACATTAAAAAGAAAGCAAAACTGTGGAGGAAGGTCTAGCTAACACTGAGCTGAGCTGAGCTTGGACTCATCGTTCTGCCCGGTTGTAAGTCTTGTGGGTTTCTCAAGGTCTGGAAGGAATGAGAAGGGTCAGGAACCTGCAAAGTGAGAGGTCATGGTCCACAGACAAGAAGTGGATTCAAAGCAACTTGTAATTTCCAACATCGTGTCCAATACTTACTGAACGATTTAAGAAACATTTAGGAATATATCAAAATTTTGCCACGTAAGGAGAGCACTAAGAGGCTGGAGTCATGATCATCAGAGGTCCTTAAACAGTTTCTCAAAGTGGGTGATGCTGCTCCGTACAGGGTGCTACACTAATTCCAAACCAAACCAAACCAAACTCTGTCGTGGAGTCCTGCCGACTCAGGAACCCTACAGGACAGGGTCCAACTGTCCCTGTGGATTTCTGAGACCGTGGTTGTTTACTGGAAGAAAAAGCCCCGTCTTTCTCCTGAGGAGCAGCTGGTGGCTTCTAACTGTGGCCTTTCAGATCACAGCCCAACGCTTAACCACCATGCCACCAGGGCTCCTAGAGGAGCTGAAAAACAGATGCTGCTGCTTTATCTGGATTATGGGCCACAGTACAAAAGCTTGCCATTGCTAGAGGGGTACTGAGTAATTTCTTTTTGGAAAAGAGGGCTGGAGGACAAATAAGCTCAGGCAGCTAGGTTCTAGAAAAAGGAGAGGCAAAAGGGTGAGGGCACAGGAGCAGAGCAGCTGCACATGTTAGCACTGTACCATGCCCGGGCCCATCAACCCGGACTCACAGCAGCCTTCTGAGGGGGCTCCAAGCCTGTACATCTAGAGGCAGCCTCTCCTTTCTCCTGGGGAGCCACCAGGGCCCCTTGAACACCACCCAGAATCATGAGAAGTTAGACGGCCAGGGAGGAGGGAAGGGTATGCCTGGATTTCATTCTCAGCTGTGCTAGTCATGAGATGGGTGGCACAGTCACCAACTTGACTTCCAGGTGCCTCGGCTTTCCCTTCCCTAGAACAGAGAAACACAGCCAGTCGCGTTGGGCTATTGTGAGAATTCAGTGAGTTAATGCAAGGAACATGCTCAGAACAGTACCTGGCACATACCAAAAGCTATTTAAATATTAACTGCCATAACCATAATGGCTATTACTACGATGGTGATCATTACGACCCTTTAATACTGTTCCTCATGTTGTGAGACCCCCCCAACCAGAAGTTTATTTTTGTTGCTACTTCAAAACTGTCATTTTGCTACTGTTATGAATCATGCAACCCTGTGAAAGGGTCCTTCGACCCCCAAAGGGGTTGCACCCCACAGGTTGAGAACCGCTGCTCTAACCGGCCTCGCTTGGATCTGACGAGTCCGGAAGCTCTGTTGCTGCAGAGCAGAGCCTGTTCCCAGGAGGTTCAGTAATGCAGCAGTTCTGTAAATAAGGTGTGCAAGCAGAGTAAGGGTTGTTAAGAGAAAGCTCAGGGTTGCCTAGGGAATAATTAAACAGACTTCAGGTATCAGGCTCCTGGTTTCTCTCTGTGTTGGGATTTTGCTAGTTAGTAAGTCATTCTTCATAATACAAGGGATGAGAAGAAGTGATGAAATTAAGAGCAGTCATAAATTCATGCATTGTGATAAATGCTGAGAGTTCCAATGATGTGACTGAAGAGACCGCGGCAACACTAGCTTAGAGAACACATTCAGATGCTCTCCAGGCCTCAACCGGGAAGGATGGTGAATGAGAGGCACTGGGGGCAACGCCATCATCTCCCGACAATATTTAGAGGAACGTTCGTGACACTGGGTGAGTGAAAACGAGGCAAGCCTTACTCTCTAAATCAAAACTGCGCGTTGGTTCCTAGAAAGAGATATTAAACACAGTGCCATAGAGCATGCATCTCAGATAATTCAAGAACAAGAGAAAAGAATTTCCTCAATCGAGAAGAAATGAGTGTCTCTGCACACCTAATTCATAATAAAAAGAACTCGTTTAAAATAATAATAAAAAGATAAGAGAAAGAAACGGATAAAGAAAAAGAGCAAATTGGTAGGAGGGACTTGCTTTCTAGTAAATGTGAAAATTACATACACACAATACATTTATAATAACAGGCTGTCTCTTACAGAGACTGGTTCTTGGTGACTCACAGTGGGGAGATGGGAAACAGTCTTGGTCCCTGAAATTTTAAGTTTTTTTGTTTTCCCTCCCTCTTCTTAAGATTGGCTTTTGATGGGGAGATATTCTGTTTATCTTTTTTTGCTGAGGGGCAAAGAGACCTACTGAGTGCCTACTCCGAATCTGGAATGAGCAAAGCATTTTACAAACATCACTTATCTCAGACAATTTGGATAACCCTGTGAATACATGAAAAGATTGAAGCAGAGAAATTTTTTTAAAGAAAAATTTTAAAATGTGACCAAAGTAACACTGAATGATGGACTACGCGATGAAATAAATGATGGAAGACACCTAGGTCTATTTTAAACCCAAAGCTCAAGCCTGCTGTAAGCTCCTCTATAGCACCGGAGGCCTGACTGGAGACTTGCCTGAAAGTCAGGGTCTGCCCGCAGAAGTAGGTGGGAGCGCTGGAGTAGAGGACACCGGGAGATTCCGTATCATTGCGGAGCGCTATGTTCCTCCGACTGCTCAGACTGTAGCCCTCAGAGCCAGGGGTCCACTCTGTTAAACGCAAAGATGTTCCTATTAGAATTCTTTAAGGAGTGTTTGCGGAACGGATGCATTCATTAGAGCTTGGAAGTAGGAAAGGGTCATGGGCAAATTCAAGAAAACCAAAGTTCTGGTGACAGAATGTAACAGTCAAGTAACAGTGGTATGAAAAAAAAAATCACACATCTATTCCTGGACAATTTTAACATGGAAAATCAAGTAAGTGTTATATCTTGCTTAATAAAAGCATGGTTAATCCTTAATTGCTAGAGTTCACTTCAAGCTGTTTCAGAACAAATTAACAAATGAACCTAAGTCCTTCAAAGGCATACAGGAGAGCGATTTCAAATGGTAAGACTTGAGAAAACCCTTTGGGAAAACAATGCCTTATGCAGTATTCTAAATTCTTTGGCTTACAGTGTTGCCAATACTCCTCTCTGGCATTATTTGTGGGCTCTGGACAACAGAACTGATGGCTAGTTCTCAAAATGCACACAAAATAATTTGAGCAGCAAGTAAACATAGGCTCCATGTTGTGCTTCCAGTCCAAGGTTAACCCTTAGACAAGGGGGCGGGCTGCTCTCACTCAGAAGACAAGGGCTGTCATCTGTAGTTAAGCTTCAGGAGGAGGAGGCAACACTCACCGTGAGGCACCAGTGTGGAGTGACCTGTCTGGGGGACACTCCAAGGACTCCATTCCTGCCGGCCATCGCCTCGGGCGCAGACTCTGAACTGGTAATCCACTTTGGGGTCGATGTGCAATACTATGAATTCTGTCTCACAGCCTACATACACATCCTCAAAGTGATTGGAAGTACATTTACGGAACTGGAGTCTGTAATCCTGGGCTGTAAAGTCGTCATCAACCTAAGGAGAAAGATTTCATGGTAATGAGTTGACCAGGGAGTAACTTCTTTCGGCACCACTGCTTAAGAACGTTTGAGTCGGGGCACTTTGGGCTCTGCCTTCAGGCTCACATGTGGACTGTGGTCTTGTTGCTGTTATTGGCACCACTGAGTTGGTTCCAACCCACAGTGACTGCACAACAGAAGGAAACACCGCCCGGCCCCCCACCATCCACACAATGTTCCTAAGCTTAAGCCCATTGCTGCAGCCCCGGCAGCCACCGGACCTTAGGCTATTCGTTTCTTTATTGAACCTTATGCTCTATGCGCCCCGTCTAAGAAGAAAAATACTGTCTCTTTGGAGAAATTCTGCCAATCAAAAAAGCAGTTTTGAACCCACTCGCCACTCCATGGGAGAAGGCTGTGAGTCTGCTGTGATGAAAATCACTCTCTCAAAAACTCACTGCCATCGAGGCAATGCTGACTCTCAGTGACCCCTGTAGGTTTCTGAGACAGTCAATGTTGATGGGAATAGAAAGCCCAGTCTTTCTCCTGGGAGTTGCTGGTGGTTTTGAACTGGTGACCATGCCCATCACAAGCCCACACTTATCTACTCCACCCTCAGAGCTCCACTCCATAAACAGGATAGCCTGGAAACCCTGTGGGACAGTTTTACTCTGTTGTAATGGACTGCTATGAGTTGGAATCAATGCAATGATAGTTTTTGTTGTTTGCTTTTTAAAGAAATGGCATGTTTTCTGCACAATAATGGTGGAGATAAAACATTCGTGATTCAATAAGAACTCCACAACTACATCATTCATCTAACCAAAGAAAACATCTAGAACACTTGTATATAAAGGACTACTACTACTAAAAATCCATAGAAGTCAACTCAGCCCAAGAGAAAAAGGCATGAATAAGCACGCTATAAAATATATAAAAACAGCCACAAAGACATTATTTATTCAACCAGATTTGTAATATGGGAAATACTAGCTAAAGACACAATGAAATAAAAAAAAAATTAAAAAAAGACACAATGAAATCCCATACAGGCAAAAACATGAAGTGTGAAAATGGCAAGTACTGGTAACAGTGGGCACAATGGGAATTCACAGTGCTGTTTGAAGACTTAACTTGGAAAAGAGTTTGGTATTTCCTAGTCTGGTACAGAGGCAATCCCTAAGATTTCATAATTCAATGGCTAGTAAACACTTAAGGAAAAAAAAGACAAGGAACCACGAATATAAGTGTTAATTATAAAAATTGGAAATAACTGAAGCCTACTGACAGACAGAAGAGTAAGAGTGGACTAACAGTCCTTGTTTTGAACAACCACAACAAAAAGCTCTACTTTCTATACCAAATCTTCATTAAAGGGGGAAAAAACCCAAACTATTAAAAGTTTATACAAATGTAACACCCACTTCTGAATCTTATGTAACTCATCTGGATAGAGAGTCCTCTCTAAAATATGGTTAGCTCACAGTCCTGATTTAATACCAAATTCTTGGCCGTGTCAGGTACGGAGTATCATACTTGAGGAATCTTATTTCAGAGGCATTAGTGCTCAGTGCTAAACAGAAAATATTATATGGTCAACAACCAGTAAGAGCTTTTGGACATTTCTAATAGGCAGGACTGGAAGAGATCATCAACTCAACAGACTTAAGTCTGACACACGTCATGGGTGTTTCTAGACAGTATCGGTAATAACAAATGTAATGATTGACACGGAGATTGGAAAGCAGAAACCAACTGTTTATCGCAAACTGGAAGTTAATTCCAGTTCCCTGTGACTTCATTTAAATTATAGAGCAAAGGAGATTTTTGTTTTAGGAAAAGATGAAAAGATTCAATGATTATTAAGAATTTTTGGGGTCTAATTTGTTTTTTAAAAATCATTTTATTAGGGGCTCATACAACTCTTATCACATTCCATCCATACATAAATGCACATTTGTACATTCATTGCCCTGATCACTCTCAAAACAACTGATCTCCACGTAAGCCCCTGGCATCAGGCCCTCATTTTTTTCGCCTTCTTCCCCCCTCCCTCATGAGCCCTTGATAATTTATAAATTATTATTTTGACATATCTTGCCCTGTCCAACATCTCCCTTTACCCACTTTTCTGTTGTCCGTCCCCCAGGGAGGAGGTCACATGTAGATCTTTGTAATCGGTTCCCCCTTTCCAACCCACTCTCCCTCTACGCTCCCAGTATCACCACTCACACCACTGGTCCTAAAGGGATCATCCGCCCTGGATTCCCTGTATTTCCAGTTTCTATCTGTACCAGTGTACATCCTCTGATCTAGCCAGACTTGCAAGGTAGAATTCAGATCATGATAGTGGGGGGGGGGCATTATTAAGAATTTTTAAAGGCCCCTGCGTTCCCCAACCTGTAAAGTTGCAGCCATTTCTACACATCTGAGTCACCCACCTTACACCAGCGTACTATGATGCCGCCAGGCCTCTCCACTAGCTCTTCGATCTGCACCGGTGGGCGAGACGCTACCGTTCCATGGTTAAAAATGTGGTCTTTCACTATGTTAAGAACCGAGTCATCCAACTGAGCAGATAAACACGGTACATCAACCAGTAAAGGCACTTCTGGCAGGCTGAGGAAACAAAACTCATGTATTTATGTGGCTTTTAACTGAGAGTTTAAATTATAAGGAATAGTGCATATCAGTCACACATGACAAAGAGGCTCAAACCCACAGCCATCAAGCCTATTCTGACTTCACAGCCACCCTATAGGACGAGGTAGAACGTCTCCTGAGTGTTTCATGTAAATCTTTATGAAAGGAGACCACCTTATCTTTCTCCTATGAAGTGACCGGTGGGTTTGAATGAATGGCCTTGCAGTTAGCAACCCAAAGCTTAATCCACTGTGCTACCAGGTCCCTATAAGGGTACCAAGGTCCCCAACAAATAATGTTCATGGCATTGAGGCTTTGCAAGATGTTCTACAAATAAAAACACACAAAAATTTAAAGCTTTACAACTATTAAGTTTCTATCAAAAGTTCGAGTTTACTGAATCATGGCTGTTTCAATGATATGTTGACATTTTTAATTTGATAATTCTCTTATACATTGGAAATGAAGATAAAGGTTATAATAACCACAATTCTTTCAGCCTAGTAATACTGGTAATGGGCAGTTGAAAAGTTGAAAACTACATGCAGGGGTTCTAAGATGTTCATGGGAAAATGGAATCAGAATGTAATAGAATTTTTTCCACAAATTTTTTGGAGTCCCCTCACCGTCTATCTCTCCCTTCACACCACCTTTAACAGAAAAGAGGATGGGGGTGGGCAAGGGGAGACAGGTGTTAACTTTAAATGCTTGTATAAGTCGAAAGGCACCATTTCTTTTACCTGTCCAACTGAATGTGGGAGGCCTTCTTAGTAAAGCTCCACAGCTTCTCATTCTGCTCTCCTACGCCGCCAAGAATAGCGATCTCACCTACAACCAGGACAAGAGAACTAGCGTGGGGAAAGGCGGTCACAAGGTTCAAGAATCAATGCAGCCCAGCCGGCTCCAGAGGACGCTCTTGATTTTCTTGCCAAGGAGTCTTCAGCGAGGCCACAGTCAAATGTCCAAAGAGCAAAAGCAGAAATGGTATCATAAGTGACCCTAAGGTTAAGGGCAAGAAGCAGCAGGGTACACGATAGCAACATTTTGCGTGAGGAAAGATTTTGCTCTGTGCACATGACATCTGGTTCGTCAGCCAACTGTATACAAAACAGATGGTTCAAGGATCTTTTCCCCACCTCTCCTCTAGCTAGAATCTTTGTCAACGCAAAACAGCAGTCAATACAAATGATGCCTTGACATGCGCAGGAGGGTCTTATAAATCAAACGATGCCATGATGTTTCTCACAGCGCATACCCATTAGATTAGACATTAATAAACAGGGAAAGGCTAGTCAGGGGTACAGTGGACCAGTTCCTATGTCCTCCCCCAGCTCAGAAGAGCGCTGGCAGGGCTCTTTCTCTCTGAACCTGCCCTGGCCTTCCTCAAGTTTTCCTTCTTTTTGAACTTAGGTCGCCTATCCTCTCACCAAAAAGAAAACAGACACATAGTGAATAGTGCCCCCAAATCCTCAAAATTCTCTTCAGTTTTTATCTCTGGTGGAGGTAAAAAAAAAAAAAAAGAGTTTGAAATTCAAAAGATTTCTGAAGTATGAAGAAAACTCAAGCATCAGATGCTATAACAAACGGTATGTGCCTCAAAGGATTTGTTTTCTAAAAGGAAACTTTCTCCGCCCCCAGGGAGATGGGTGTGGAACCCTGACCTGCGATGAACTGCTTCTGGGTTTGTTTCTGAATTCCAGGTCTCCAGGGGAAGACGTTTTTGCTTCTTGCTTGGGGAAAAAAAAATTCTCAAAGGCACTGTTTTTGGTCAGTGATAAATAAACTTTTCAAGAAGACAGGCCAAAAATATAATTAGTGTGTAAAGATAACACTTACTGTTTTAAGAGGCTTGAAAAGGGGGATTCGTTTTTTGGCTGCATCGCTTCTTGGCCTTTTGGCTAAGATCAAGTAATGTAATTTTTTGGCTGGAATAAAAGATCTGTGTCCAACCAGCACTTTTTATTTGAAGCCACTCACAGCACTTAATCTGCAGAAAGGGTAGGATTCAGGTCCCTTCCCTGGATCTTGTTCCACAACGGCCTTTTATTGCTGGCATCTCTGAGTTCTAGCCTTTAAACCTATGCTATTTACCGCCACATTGGCATTTTCAGTTATGGGCTTTCTCCTTGGCATCACACCTACCTTCCCAACTACCTTCAGCATCCTCAACCCAAAATACCCAAGGCATACTGAATGCACTAGAGCTCATCTCTTCTCCTTTGTTTCCTATCTCAGCACCATCCAACCAAAACTCGGTATCAACCTACTGCAGTCTTCCCCCCCCCCCAAATAAATCATTTTCTTGGGGGCTCTTACAGCTCTTTTAACAATCCATACATCAATTCTATCAAGCACATTTGTACATATATTGCCATCATCATTTCTATAATATTTTCTTTCTACTTGAGCCCTTGGTATCAGTTCCTCTTTATTTCCTCCCCCACTCCACCCTCATGAACCTTTGATAATTAATATTTTTATTTTCATATTTTACACCGTCTGCTGTCTCCCTTCACTCACATTTCTGTTGTCCGTCGGGGAATGGGGGGGTGTTGTATGTTGATCATTGTAATTGGTTCCCCCTTTCTCCTCCTAGCTGCTCTCATTATTGGTCCTAAGGGATTTGTTTATTTGTCCTGGATTCTCTGTCGTGAGCTCTTTATCTGTACCGTGTACATGCTCAGGTCTAACCTGATTTGTAAGACAGAACTGGGGTCATGACAGTGGGAGGGAGGAAGCATTAAAGAACTAGAGGAATGTTGTATATTTCATCAGTACTATATTGCACCCTGGCTGGCTCATCCCTTCCTTTTGACCCTTCTGTGAGGGGATGTCCAATTGTCTATAGATGGACTTTGGGTGTCCATTCCGACCTCCCTCGTTCACATCAAAATGGTTGTTTGCTTTGGGTTGATCCCGTTGACACCTTGTGATCACACAGGAAGGCTGTAAGTCTTTACAGAAGCAGGCTACCACAGCTTTCTCCTGTGCAGCAACTAGTGGTTTGAAACCACAGAGCTTTTGGTTGGCAATCAAGTGTTTTGCCAGTGCTCATATCAGTCATCGTCAATGCTTTCCTTCTATATCCTGGCAATCATAAATTGTCAATAATTCTACTCCTAAAAATGCCTTAAAACCAGTCCTGCCTGCCTCACCTTCACTTGTCACTGGCTTTTTCATTTGTCACCTAGCTTACTGCCACACTTTTCTAATCAGTTTCTTTTGCCTCTTGTCTTATAAGCTTTATTCAGGCCCCAAACAATAGGCACTGTCTTAAAAAAAGGAAAAAATCTGATTATGCAACTTTAGTACTTAAAGACATCAATAATCGCTGAAGATGGCATTCTCTTCTGTTCACGATGAGACCTCCTCTTCTCCCTTTGTCTGCCTGAAGAACTCCTCGGGGCCTCCTTGGAACCCTTCCAACAGACGTTGACCTTGACTTTTCCAAAACACTTGCATAGTGTTATCTCTGGCCCATTGGGCTATGGACTCCCTCCCTAAAAGTAAAAATTGTGCTCTACCTTATTGTTTTATTCAATGTTCCTGACAAAGACCTATGTCAAAGGAAAGTATGTATGAAGGCAGAAAGGCCACACAAGGCAAGACAGAGGCAGGACTTGACCAAAGTAACTGGCTCAGGATAGAATATGTTACAACTACAAGCTCAGGAGCAAACGTCAATCACATGTTTTAAAACTTAAAAAGAAAAATGGGACTAAATTCCATTAGCCAAGAACAAGCAGAAAAATCTTTTGACTCACAATGACCTTAAAAGTAGTTGTACAAATAATGAATGAGACAAAATCCTTTACTCCTTGCTCGGTAAATGTTGATAAGGAACACTTAGAATGCACTTACCCTGGGATACTTCACTGTATATCTATCATCACATAATACAAACTGTCCCAAGGTTAGGACGATCCCAAGCACCCCGCAGATGGCAGGAAGCTTGGTAACCTGAGAAATCAGCGGTGCTGATCTACAAGAACCACGTTTAATGGCTCCCTGGATGCCCACCTTCTCGGACTAAGTCCTCGGCAGTGTTAACTCCGTGCTCAATAAGCTTCTGACAGTCGTCCAGTGGCTTTACGGTCTCTTGTTCAATTATGTCCACCTCTTGCAGAAGGGTGACCAATCTCTCCTCCAGGAGCTTCTCGAGGGTTCCCTTCAAATCATTAAAATGCTGTTTGAGGACATCCCTCGTCTGGGAGGCGCTTTCTCTGATCTGAAAAGAAGTACCACAAAAACAGGACTCAAAAGGCTAATCCATAGGCACTTCTCATAATAATTCCAGGACACTGCGAAACCACCCGCTTTCATTCCCTGATAAAGTAGCTGCTTCTGCATTTGTAGAAGCTGCCAGAATGTTATTAAATTAGTGTTCAGTTAGGGCAGAATAAGCTCAAATCATTCACAAACTCATCTCATTAGTCTTAAGGTACTTCACACCTCAGTTTCCTTATTTATAAAATGGCTACAATAATTTTTAAAAATTCTTAACTTACAGAACTGTTGTGAAGATTAAACAACATAACCCAAGTACTACATTTGGTACAACATCTGACGCATTGTTCTTAATAAATTAATGCTAGAAATTACTGTTGTTTCAGCACAAAACATTTTAAATTACAAAGGGATTGAAAGTCATCTTGTGGGAAAAGGAGCAAAAAATGGTAGATTAGGAAAACCACAATGCAAGAAAAAAAAAAACTCCTTCGTGGATAAAATGCCCTCATTGTGCTAGAATAAAACTAAAACTCTGTTTAAAATTCAAGAGGTAGAAAATGTTCACAAAATAGAAAGGTCTAAAACAATGACTTAATCCCTTCTGGAGTCATGGTTCTCTTTGAGAATCTTGATGAGGGATTTTACAGACATTCTTCCTGGGAAAAATGAATAATCCAGACCTGAATGAAAGTTACCCAGTGTCAGAGGCTTTACAAATCCCTCACATGGTAGTCCTGGATGGCCTAGAGTCTTGCTTCTGAAACTTGTCTCTAGGGGAATCACCGAGGCTGCTCATTCAAACCGAAGATCCCAGGCCTCCATCCCAGATCCACTAAGCAGCTATCTTGGAACTGGGGTTAGCAGAGTGCTCGGATGGAGTTCTTATTTTTAACAAGCACACCTGTCCATACTTTGAGAAACACTGCCCATGTTCACAGACCCCCAGATGAAGAATTCTTATTCCAGGGGATGGGAGAGGTAAATCATCTCATTTTACACACAGCTTTAAAAATTATGGGATTACCTGTGCAGATGCTAAATTTTTCTTTCAAAAAACTCGTAAACATACAATTCCCTCTCACTTAACAGGGACTGGAGCTAACTACTGGACTGGTTACAGTAGGCACAGACTGTGCAGTCATTCACTTGAGATATTATGCTTGCCCACCTAACCCTTTCACTCACTGTATCTTAGCAAGTGTCTTGAAGTACCAGAAAGCCCTGCTATGAAATAATATATGAAAACATGAGCAAAGGGCAACATTTCAGTAATTTTCAGCTAATATGGCATCGGAGAAAGCCTTCTATTTACTCTCTAATTTAAATTTAACATTTAAAAAGGAGACTAAAAATGAAAACAAAAAAAGGAAAGGAAAAAAACAAAAAAAATAAACAAACAACAAAAATCCCAGATTGAGTTACCAGAGTGAAATCAGTTCTGTCTTCTTTTGGCCCTGATGGAGTTACAATGGTGGTTGTGCAACAAATAAGAGAATTCAAAAAAAAAAAGAGAGAGAGGGAGAATTCCTTAAATCCCAAAGAAACTCTCATTTAAATGCTATTGTTAATTCATCTCTGGAAAGACACTAGGAAGCATCTATGAAATATACCCAAGTCCAAAACGCAAACAAACCAAGACAGCCACAAGCTCAACTGCACGTAATCGGATTGGCCCTCGAGGAGCTGGAGGCGATAAAGACAGCGGGTCAGAGGCTGTCAGACAGCTAGCGCCTCACTCCAGGGGAAATTCTGCAACACAGCGCCTCGCCCCCACCCACCTCCTTCTCTAACGGATACAGCACACACACGCAGGAAGCACACTGGTTAGGTAAAGTTGGTTTCCTCTTTAGAAAGAATTCAAAACTCCCTTGCTGCTTCAGAAGCTAGGTTTTGTTTTGTTTCAGAAGCTCGAGAGTGAGAAAGAGAAAGGAAGTACCGTATATACTTGAGTATAAGCCAACCCAAATATCAGCCGCGGCACCGAATTTTACCACGAAAACTGCATTAAAAATGTGGTGAATAAACGTGGCTTATGCATGAGTATATACAGTATATGAACACCACGCAGTGAGAGGGCAGGGGAAGAGAATCCATTCCCATACCTACCTCTCCTACTCTCCCGGCCAATTTGCTCTTTAGAATCTGCTACCTTGGACTTACTTTCCCCTCCTTGAAATCGGGCATAAGCAAATGCCTGTCACTTTTAATCCTATTCAACTAGTTCACTGGCTTTGGCTCTAGGAAAGCACACTTAAAAACGAGCTGCATGCTGAGTGAAACAAGCTGGACACACCTCGCCCTGTAACACAGAGGGACTCGCAAACGTTTGTGGGAAAACTCCATCGTTTTTCAACTCCATTTCCCGCAGCCCTGTCACATCTCTCTTGCTGCTATTACCACTGTGACATCAAGTCCCTTACAACTCGCAGGGACCATCTAAGACAGAGCAGGGCTGCCCAGCGGGTTTCCTCAACTGTAATCTTCACAGAAGCAGGTCACCAGGCCTCGTCTCCCTCGGAGCCACTGGTGGTTTAAAGCCTCTTTCAGCGGATATGCATTCTCTCTTTATACAGTTTGCCAGCTTGAAAGCAATGTGGGTCTTTGTAGGAGCCAGCTGCAAGGGGTAGTTTTGGTTTGAAACAGCTGGTCAGCGAAGTGTTAACATCTATCTTGGCCTCTGCACTAAGAACGCCAATGTGGAAGGCAATCAGTCAATTCCAAGTGGTAGCTATCCACCTAGGGCAGTGGTTCTCAACCTGTGGGTAACGACCCTTTTGGGGGTTGAACAACCCTTTCACAGGGGTCACCCATTCATAACAGTAGCAAAATGACAGTGATGAAGTAGCAACAAAAATAATGTTATGGTTGGGGGGGTCACCTGCACATGAGGAGCTGTGTGAAAGGGTCACGGCATGAGGAAGGTTGAGAACCACTGCTCTACGGGCAAAACCAATGCAGGTGTCTACTGACAGAATAAAGATCTCAGGGGTTATTCAACTCGAGGTCTCAAAAATAAAGAAACTGCAATGTACACTGTTTATGTTGATCAGAAATATTCTGAACCAATTTCCCCACTGGAATAGACCAGTAACTTTACTTTTTAAAACTTAATAATTTTATTGGGAGGGGCTCTTACAAATCTTGTAACAATCATCATTCAATAATATTAAGCACACTTGTACATTATGTTGCCATCAACATTTCCAAACGAATTTCTTTCTACTTGAGCCCTTGGTATCAGCTCCTTTTTCCACCCCTCCCTCTCCCACCCTGGTGAATCCTTGATCAATGATATATTATAAATGTTATTTCATGTCTTACAATGCCCATTGTCTCCTTTCACCCACACTACTGTAATTCATCCCCCAACCCTGGGGGGTGGGGTGGGCAGGGGCGGGAAGGCTATATATCCAACCTTGTGACGGGTGAAGTAACTTTACTTAACAAAGTTTCCACTGCAGCTAAATCTAATCTTAGTACAACTGGGATTAAAAAAACAACAAAGAAACGTTTAAATAAATGAAATGAGCTCACAAAATGGCAAAGTCATCAGTTTCTACTTAGGTGCTAAACCACACAAAAGCTTGGGGTAAGCATATACACTTTATCGCCATCCAAGACAACAGTGATAGCACTTTCCTCCTGAGCTTGGTTACTAAACAGTCATAAAACTAATGGAGAACCTGAATTCTGACATCTCTGGTCTCAAATGGTAATATACAGTTATTATGCTAACATAAGGAGACCTAGTGGCACAGTGGTTAAGTGCTCAGCTGCTGATAGGTAGGCAGTTCAAACCCATCAGCCTCTCTGTGGGAGAAAGATGTGGCAGTTTGCTTCTGTAAAGATTAAAACTTTGGATGAAACCCAGGATTGACAAAACTATAGGGACAGAAAGTAGGATAAGGGGTTCAGGAGCATGGGGGTACAATGGAGGGGTGGGGGGTTAAAAGGGAAACGATGTCAAGGAGTCCATGTAGAAAAAGAATGATTGGAAACGGGTCACAATCATACAATTCTACTTGGTGTAACTGAAATCTGGAATATGTTATATGTATTAAATTCCAATTTTAAAAAAAGAAAGATTAAAGCTTTGGAAACCCCATGTGACAGTTCTACTCTGCCCTACAGGGCTACTACGAATAGAAATCGGCTTGACAGGAATGGGTTATTTGCTAATATCATATAGCACTCTGGGTACATCAGAAAATTAAATAGCTAGAGTTAAGGTTCTTAAAAACATACATTTTTATGACTCTAGGAAAGAAAATAAATCTCAACCTTCAAGTTCAAACAAAGAATGAATTTTCCCAAATGCTTTGCTAATAGGAAATTAAAACTAATTTAGAGATTAACTTTTTATTTTATTTTTTATTTATTTTTTTTTTGAGATTAACTTTTTAAATGATTTTTTAACTTCTTAAATTATTAGCTAAAGAGAATATACTGATCAAAAAATTAGAGATAGATAAATACAACTGAAACTGAAGAAGCTACCAAAATATTTCTTCTCAGTCTATATGGAATGTACCAAACCCACTTGCTGATTCGTCAACTCTGACTCCAAGCCATCCTACCACGAGCTCATGCCATCGAGTTGATGCCGACTCACAGAGCCCCAATAGGACGGGGTAGGACTGCCCTGTGAGTCTGCAAGACTGTAATTCATTACAGAAGTAAAAGGTCCCATCTTCCTCCTTCTGAGGGACTGGTGGTTTCGAACTGCTGACCTTGCTGATTGAAGCTCAGTGAGTAACCACACCACCACCAAAGCTCCTAAAAACAACCCTCCAAGAAAGCGGAAAACTGCTCCATAAGGTTTCCAAAACCGTATATCTCTATGGGAGCAGACTGCCACCTTTCTCCTTTGGGGATTTAAACTACTAAGACTTTTCAGTTAGCCTTTGAGAATCAAACCACTGTCACCAGGGCTCCTTCCATAATACCAGGACAGTAGTAAATTAATAAAAGAATGGCACTAACATAAGGTGACCAGATGTCCCGCTTTTGGCGGGACAATCCCGATTTTTAACAAATTTTCCCACGTCCCGCAGAGTTTTAAAAAAGTCCCGATTTTTGGAAAGAATGCATGACAAGCTAGAGAATACAGTTTTCGGCTGCCATGTGGCTATTTCGCCAGGATATGAGTTTTATCAGTGGTGTCCCGCTTTACCAATGTTAAAATCTGGTCACCTTACACTAACGACAACCATAGTGCAGCAGTTATCATCTAAAAAGGTATTCATACGCATGGTCTCACTCTCTGCCATGATCCTGGGAAGGAAGCATCTTTCGATGAGCAATGCATGGGGCTCAGAGCGATTACCCCGTCATCTTTCAAAGGCTAGTACAGTAGCTGGGCTGGAGTTCACACTCTGCAGGATTCAAGTCAGTACTTGTGAGCACTGCTATTGTCCTTCTTGACTCATACTGTGTAATATATATATATAATTTAATTGGAAACCTTCAAAAAGAAAACGATATAATTATGCAGCCTGTTACATGAGTAGCCCAGATGAACCACACCTTGTGGCATTTACCCCCCTTGAAAACAGACTGGCCCTGTGACTAACTGTAACTCATAGCAACGCATTGGGACGATTGTTGAGGCAGTTCCAGGTCTTAACCTTAAGAAGGCCTGCAGCTGCAGTTTCAGTTTCTGTGCTCTTAGGGTCCCGCGTCACCACGAGATAGAAACCAAGTGAAGGTGAGAGGAAAGAAGGGAGGACGAGAAGTCAATGGAAGAGAGGGAAGTGGGAGACAACTTAGGTATTGAGTTTACTATGTAGCAATCAATACCCAAACTATACAGGAAAAACAAACTTTCCTGGCTTGATTATCTGTATTGTATTAATGAATCCGAAAACGAGACTCATTGCCGTTGAGTCAATTCTGATTCAGAGCAACCCACTCAGACTCCAGGGCAGGGAAGAAACTCCCCCGTGGGTTTCCAAGACTGCCTCTTGATGAGAGTAGAAAACTTCATCTTTCTCTCTCCGAGGGGCTGGTGATCAGCAGATGGCGGTAACGCATAACCCACTACACTACCAGAACTCCCTAATCAAGATCACAAACCATCTAAAAAGAATGTCTGCAAAATTATACCGACTAATTTCTATAAAGGCACGTATTCAACAATTAACCACGCCTGTAAAGGGTCGCAGTCTCGGAAACCCACGGGGCAGTTCTACCCTGTCCTACAGGGTCTCTATGAGTCGGAATTGACTTGATGGCAGTGAGTTTTTTTTAGTATCTACTAGGAATTGGAATGGAAAAGGTGAATAAGACATAGCCCTCACCTCAAAATATATATATAACCTCAAAACAAACAACAAGAAAAACATTCTGGTATAGGAGATGGCAGTTGCAGGCACAACCAGACTCCAAACTCAGTGCCCTCACGTCAATTCTGACTCACAGTGACCCTACGGGTTAGGGTAGAAGCGTCTCTGGGCTTCCCAGTCTGTAAATCTTCATGGAAGCGACACGCTTCATCTTTCTCCGACAGACTGAAAGTGGCGAGTTTGAACTGTTAAGCTTGTGGTTCACACCCCAACTTGTAACCCACTCCGCTACCAGGGCTCCTTGCAGGCACAATTACTTGTAGTAAAAGATAGTTCAGTTCTTATATAAGCCTCATCTTTCTCCCATGGAGTGTAACTGGTGGGTCTGAAGTACTGACTTTGCAATTAGCAGTACAACACATAGCCCACTATACCACTAAGGCTCCTCCTATCAGAATACTGGCTCACTACCTGTATTAAAGACACTGTGCTACAACTGTAAGATGTTAATGACAAGGGTCAACTGAGTGCAGATGCAGAGTGGCATATGAAAACCTTACTATCTGCTTAATTCTTCTGTAAATCTAACAGTTCTAAAAAATAAAGTATTAAGTCCTATTTAAAATTTTTTTTAAATTTAAATCGTGTTATCTACTAGGCTTACACTAGTATCAAAATTATACTCACACACATACCCAAAAAAGTTTATGAAGAAAATGGAACTAAAAGATAAGGGAATTTTCCCATGAACTTTTTGAAAGCCCCAAGTACGGGGGTGGCGTGGAGAAAACTGGGTAACTGTGACATTCACTCACACACTTTTAAATTAACATCACTGATTCAGAATGCTTAATCTCCTCCATCTCTTCCTTTATTTTAAGTGAGTTCTAGACTCAGCCAGCAGCTTTTAGTATCATGTTTAAAGACAGCAAAAGAACCTATTTGTGAAAATATGGCTGCAGAACCAATGACCACGGGGATCTTTTGCACACAGATGTATATATGCCACTTACTCGATTGTGATTTTTGGTCTTGTCAATGTCTTAAGTTATCTAGTGCTGTCATAACTGAAGTA